AGACAGGCAGCACTGCTCAGTCTGGCACGGCGGAGCTCAGCATCCCGACAGACACACAGCGCTGTGAACTCTCCAGCACAAGGATTAACTGGTGCCTGTTTGAACAGTGAAACGGCAGGCGAGTGGACGATGAGCGGAACAGGAATCAGCAGCCATTGCTCTGATGTCTATTTATCTGTCCCAATTCCACGCTCTTTTCCACATGAAACCCACACTAAGGCTGAAAACCAGCCAGAACATGAGGAGAACCTTTTGAGGACGTGGTTTCCCGCCCCAACCCCAGAAAAGCAGGACTGGGTGGGATGTACTCACTTGGACGTGTTTTGTCGTTTCTCAATGAACTTCATCACCTGACGGAGAAAGGAGACGTTTGCTTTGTACTGCAGCTCACGACCAAGCTCTGCCCAGCCGCTCCCCAGCAGAAACACAGCACCACGCACAGCACCGTGCACAGCCACGCACACAGCACCAGCGCACACAGCACCACCGTGCACAACACCGCGCACAGCACCGCGCACAGCCACGCACACAGCACCAGCGCACACAGCACCACCGTGCACAACACCGCGCACAGCACCGCGCACAGCCACGCACACAGCACCAGCGCACACAGCACCACCGTGCACAACACCGCGCACAGCCCTACCGCGCACAGCCCCGCATCCGTGCCCAGGAGATGGAAGTGCCAGAGCCCTGCAGTGCGGGAAGGGTGGCAAAGGCCCAGACACTGCAGAGCTCCAACACAACCCCGTCTGGCCGTGTCCCGGTGCCGGCGAGGGCAGTGGTGTAACACCTGCAGCTGTGCTCCCCCCTTTGCTGAGAGGCTGCGCTGGTGCACAGCTGGCCCCAGTGACACCCAGTGCTGGTTTAACGTTGTGTTTATGACCCTAATGGCTGATGAGCTCGGTGGGCGCTGTGAAACACCTGGCTCTGCGCGGAGAATGTGAGGCGCTGTGAAACACCCGGCTCTGCGCGGAGAATGTGCTATCCCCCAGTCAACGTCAGGAGCCTCCCCAAGCACGGACTGAGCCCCCGAGTACGCCAGACCCTGCACAGTGTGTGGTGCAACATCGGGGGAACGGCCGCATACCTGATCAAACCTCGTGGCAAAGAGGTTGAGGGAGGTCACTATTCCACCGTTGGGGCCCAGCCCGTATCTAGACGCTGTGTTTAGGAAAGCGGATGGTTCTGCACACCCCGAGCTTGCGTTCGTCAGCGCCGAGAGCAGCTGCCCAGGCGCAGTACAGGACACCCTGCAGCGAAGGCAGCACCCCCAGCACACAGCACGGCCCCCGGAGGGAAGCACCCCGGCTGCTCCCAGCGCTGCAGCTGACCAAAGGAAAAGGGATATGCCCTGCCTTCCCCTTGCCGGGTAAAGCCATTGCACTCTGGAAGGGGAAAGCATGCACATGCAGATACACCAAAGCCACCTCTGTCTTTCCAAACAGACTGACAACCGCTGGGAGCCTGGGACTGACCAGGATGTGTCAGAGGAGGCGACGCCCTGAGTGCCCAGTTCCGCTGCCAGACGGAAAGAAATTGAGAGAATTGGGCTTGTTCAGCCTGGAAAAGAGAAGGCTCCGGGGTGACCTTATAGCACCTTCCAGTACCTGATGGGGGCTACAAGGAAGCTGGGGGGGACTTTTTACAAGGGCTTGTAGTGACAGGACAAGGGCTAACGGGTTTAAATTGAAAGTGGGGAGGTTTAGATTGGACATCAGGAAGGAATTCTTCCCGCAGAGGGTGGGAGCACTGGGACAGGTTCCCAGAGAAGCTGTGGATGCCCCATCCCTGGGAGTGTTCAAGGCCAGGCTGGATGAGGCTGGGAGCAACCTGGTCTAGTGGAAGGTGTCCCTGCCCATGGCAGGGGGTGGGACTGGGGGGGCTTTGAGGTCCCTTCCAATCCAAACGATTCTGATTCTATGAAAAGGTTCCTTGTGCAAATCCATAGCAGAATTTCTGCCTTTTCTGGTGG